TAGCACTATGCTATGAGCACTTCTTTTTTTCAAATTCAAAATACAGAGTATATAGACATCAACAGATTAATGATTTTGATTCGCAAAAGATAAGGTCTGATCCCTACCCTACCTCGACATTCCTTATTCATGTAGGCATATATAACCCATCCCATAATGATGGATAATTATGTAGGCCACCCCATGTCCCATACATAATATCGTACGTACATGCTCACCAGATCATTATTGTAATTGAAGCACAGTCTTACGAGTACAAATAATAAGTTCGACACTCCAAAAATTCGCTGGTTTTTCATGTGGGAAATAAACTATACCCTATAAATATCAACGCTGTAGGGAAGAAAATTCTATATATGTTGGCGATGTTGCTTATATTGCCTAGGAGCCTAAGACCACGAATATACCGAATCATGAGAGTATTTTTTATACATGGATTAAAGTCTCGAGGACTTAAAGGAAAGGGTACACATATACGAAGTATTTATTATTACCAAGTTATTTACAATGGAGTACTATTTTTTAAGCTCACAATTGGAGTAGAAGTAGCACCGTGGCTTGTAGTAGTTCCAAAATTAACTTCAACCTTTGGTACGTGTATAAAAATTCACATTAACCCAACTTTTTTTCCTTATAAAAAATTCTCTCAAAATCCCAATGCTTATTCTTTACATTCATTTTATAGAAAGGAAAACTACATAAATAACTCCTAGGTCTGCATATAAGGAGTTCTAAATAAAAATATTAAATAATTGTTTCGATTCACATGTAAATTTGACATGTTTATATACAGCCTAATAGCATATATATCACTTGCCCAATGTTTATAGTATCCAATCCAATTTCAACATTCTTTAACTTTTTAATGAACCAAAGTGTAAAGTTAATACTTCGTACATTTAATGGTTATCCACTTGGTCTAGACTCCTAGTCCATATGTTTTTATTTGAATGAATTACATTTGCCTTTCTTTTCTTAGGATTTTAATAATTTTCGTGTTTATTTAAGTACTCCGTAATTTTCATTGATCAAAGTGTCTTCTTTCTTGATCAAAGTATCTTCTTTCTTGTAAGTTGTAATTGTAACTTTCGTACGACACCTAGACCATCAAATCATCTTTTAAATAACACTATAATTTTTTAAATGAGTATCATACGTTTAAAATATTGTGTAAATTAGTACTTCAAATCTTTTTCATAGATTAAAGTATCTTTTTACCTATATTATATTAGTAAGTTAGTAACTTTCATTATCCACAATGGACACCATCAAATCAAACCATCTTAATTTTAAAGGGATTTTCTAATGGGCATGCGTTAACTTAACACCTAAAAGATTCTATATTAACATAATTATTTTAACATAAACAAATGAAAATATTTCCATAGCTAATTAATTTATGATTGAAGAAGTTTATAAGTTTCCCCCTTTAAGACTCACCATTCCCATATACGAGATTAAGAGTATTTATGGTTGTTGATTAACAGGGTACACGTTACTTAAACCAGATTTTAAAAGAAAGAATAAAATATACGCGTAAAGGGCAAACCTTGAAGAATGAGCGAGGGAGGCACACGCCCGAACAATATCAGCACATAAAAGCAAGTCCTGTTGAGAACCGGTGGCCTGGAATGAGCGGAAGCAGGTAAAAGCTGTCCCCATCAACCCCGTGTATATCGTGGGATTCAATTCTTGGATCTCCACTCTTCCCTTGTCCTTCCACATCACCTCCACAACCTATTTATTTACTCCAGTAAAAGCCAATTTAAAATTATTATATACCCCTTGTCATCTATTTTCCCTACCCTACTCTTTCAGATAATAAAATAAAATATCATAATTTTCAGATAAACATGCTTTTCTTGCCTCTTGGGCTCAGAAGTTCAGGACTAGAAGGTACCCTATGCCTGAGGACTTGTTACACCATTTAGTCGTTTACACATTCTCAACATACGAGTATTCAATACTCTACCCTTTTTCTAAGGGCATTAGTTTAATCGGCACAAAGTTTTCAAATATTGAGTTGAATGTTTAAGAGAACGGAGGGATTATGTACTTTTTTTTCGTTCTGAAATTTGAAACATAAGAAGCACAAGATCAAAGTACTCATAATAAAAATGATAGAGATGACCACAAGAAATATGTGAATTACCCATTAAAAGTAATTAAGAAAAAAAGATATTAAGAAATACTGGTATTAAACTATTAATAAGGATATTTTGAGTATTGAGTAAAATAAGATATTGTAATAAATTGCCTTAAATGGAAACATTGTAAATTTGTGAAACTTGTTACTCTATTTATAAAATGGAGGAAATATAAATTTAAAGACTAATCATGTTTAATTATTGTTGATTGAGTCCAATCAAGTTTAATTATAAGGAGAAAATCAGGGTTAATCAAGTCTAATTGTCCAAAATGCAACGTTCAAGGGGAGAACACACCCTTAATCAATTCGTTAATCACGTTTGATTTATAGTCAATTTTTTAAAAAAAAATTAATTATGATGATAATACTCATGCGAGGCAAAAAAAAAAATACTTTCTCTGTTCTATTAATATTGCAACATCGGACTTTTTGCACTATTCATTACTCTTGTTTGACCATATAATATGATTTATACGTTAAGCAAAATATAGTCACGTGGGATCTTGTTTGATTCGTCTCATAAAATACTTTCACAATATCAATTTTTTATAATTTTTACTTTTACACAATTATAGATATTTAGTATGTAAAATATGTTTTGGAATGTGTAATTTCATCTAACATTTTTTTCAACAATGCCACATCTCACCTTATTTAACTTTTTTTTTTTAATCCCCTAACTAAAAAAAAATATGTTCTCCCTTATAAACCATTCATTTTTCAATAAAAACATACTATAAAATAAAAATTCATATGGTATATTTATAAACAATCTGTGCATTCGGGCGAGAAGGCTAGTTAATTAATCAATCAATAATGCAAACCTCAATTCCAAAATTTTCTAAAATAACCTCGGAAAATTACACAAAATGTTAACAAATTATGACATTATCCGCAAATTTCTGTAAATCCATCTAACCTTCTCAATTACTCAGCGATTTCACAAATGTTACACCTATTTTAGGCCGGATTGAATTTTGGACCGATGAATTACCCTAATTAGTCCGCTTTCACTTACAAAGTTAAGCTAAAAACAACCAGAAAAACAACACCTCCATTTTAATTCAGCTAATTAATAAAAATGGTGCAAGCATTAATTCTCCAAAATTACTTTAATTACCTGGTTTTTAAGCTGAATAGCAGCATTCAAAAAAGTAAGATCATCAGGAATGAACATAAACTGAGACAACTCAGTAGCCGTCCGATCATCATCAGCAACAATAGAATTGAGCCATTGATTATTTCTCTCTTCACGTTGTTGTCGATGATCACCTTGATCAGATGCACACTCTACGATTGATGGTGACATTTTCTCTCTCCTCTTTTTTGAGATTGTTAGATGAAGTTTCTAGTTTATTCTAAAACTCTGTAATAAAAATACTGGGATTATATTTCTGTTGGCGTTTAACATAGAAAATGCAAATGAAGTGGTGTGAGTTTATATACTGAGATAGGAAAGGTGGATAAAAGTAAGGGGAGAAAGAACATATGAGACACGTGTCTTATTATCTATGCGTTTGGTGTCATTGCTTTAAAGGTTTCGCCGTTGGATTGCGCCGAGTATCAACACTACTTCCTTTGGTTTTTAGATTTTTAGCCTTGTGATACGTGGTTGTGGCCTTGTGGGGTCTTATTCTTATGCTTGCCTTTTTATTCCCTCCGTCTCATAAAATAATATTTAATTATCTATAATATAATATGTTAACTTCTGTAAGGTGTGTAATTTTAGAAGTGTTGGTGGTAGAATTTTGTACAAATTTTTGAATAAGACCTTATAGATTGGTAATGCCGTGATGGGTTGGCCCATAGAAGATATTGGGAATTTGGAATGGTCACATGCTTATTATACTTGACCAAAAGTAGTTGGAGACTTGGAGTGACTCATATAAGTAATTGTATATGGTAAGGTGGTCTTATACAAATGTTACTTGGAATTTTGTTATATACGTAAAATTATAAAATTTAGATATTACTTGTAAATACTTTTTATTAAAATGAGAGATTGTATATATTTCTGTCTCTTTTTGTTGTTCTTGTTTTGATTTTCATGATAAAATTTTAATAACAATATTCAAAATATATTTAAAATAAAAGAGAGAGAGAGAGTAATGTAAGATTGTCTTAGAATTCGTCTCAATGTGCAATATTTTATGTTACAAAACTTACAATAATCAAATAATAGAAAAGTATGAATCATAATGAATACATAATTGAAGAATAGAACAAGTATGAATTTCCGGAGAAGAAAAAGGAAAAGAAAAACAGAAACATAATTATGCTATACGTAACAAGTGAGACTGTTTTTTCTCGTTGACATGACCCACTTATATATGGTATTCTCTCACATACACGGGGCTCAAATGCATATGATCCAATGACGATAGATTTTCGCTATATGAGGAGTTCTCGTTTTCCTCACCTTAAGAAGAAAAGAATTTCATGAATAAAATCCGTGTTTCCCGCTCATATTCTTACCTATTATGAACTTTATTCTTCATTGAGACTGCTTATGTTCATTAGTCTGTAAAGTAAATGTGTAAGACCCTGTTTAGAGCATCATTATTGGTGAACACAAAAAAATGGTTCATGGGTCACTATCACCATTTCTCTCTCATCCACATCAATCCAACAAACCATTTACAATATTCACTCTTAACAATGAACACTAAACAATGGTTCATCATCAATACTCCCTACCCCACCTTATTTTACTTTTGTAAATATAATCTTTTTTGTTTCATAATTATAATTTATTAACCCGATGTCAATGTAATTAATTGACGTATTTAATATTTTAATCGTGATTACTAATTAAGAAATTATCGCATTTTTTTATCAGCTTTTTAAAAAACTAATTCTTGTGATTAATATTTTTTAAACAACAACGCAGCTAATTTTAATTAACAAAAAAAAAGAGGTACAAATCGTGATTACAGTTCTACAACTATAATCTAGTACATTTTATTTAAAAAAAAAAAACAACTACACATCGTTTTGTAAGATGCCCTTAGGGATAACCATTTGTTGTAAACCTAGTTGCCTAAGTTTTCGTTGTTACCAAATTTATTCCATATATGTTCGACCAAGTCGTTTTTTAGCTGCAAATGAGTCTATTGATCCTCAATCTCTGTTCTACGAGACAAGTATAAGTCGATATCCACAATACGATCAGTACGGTACTCGGTAGTGTCCTCATTAGCGTTGCCTCCAGCATTCATAAACTCATTGGTATTAACGTTATTTTGATACGTCTCTCGTTCATCTTCAACGATCATATTATGTATCATGATGCAGGCGAGCATGATATTGTGGAGTATGTCGGTATCCCACGCCAAAGACGGCTTTTTAATAATGGCAAAACGAGCTTGAAGGACCCCAAATGCGCGTTCAACGTCTTTCCTTGCAGCTTCCTGGTGTTTTGCGAATAAACGATCCTGACGAGTTTGTGGACTCGTAATGGATTTCACAAAAGAAGCCCATCTAGGGTAGATTCCATCAGTAAGATAATACCCATTCGTATAATGATGACCATTGACTACGAAGTTCACAGGAGGTGTTCGACCCTCTAAGACGTCTTCGAACACAGGGGATCGATGAAGCACATTAATATCGTTGCAGCTACCTGGCATCCCAAAGAACGAATGCCATATCCATAGATCTCTGTCCGCAACTGCCTCCAATAAGAGAGTTGCAACTCCTTCTCTTCCTTGATACTGCCCCTTCCATGCGTGTGGACAGTTCTTCCACTCCCAGTGCATACAATCAATGCTGCCTATCATGCCAGGAAATCCACGTTCTTCCCCAATACGTAGCAATCTTTCCATATCTGCGATGTTTGGACGGCGTAGGTACTGATCACCGAACAGGTTGATGACACCTTCTGTAAACTTTTGGAGTGCCAATCGTGAAGTTGCCTCACTTATACGGACATACTCGTCACAAGCGTCTGAAGCACACCCGTAAGCTAGTTGTCTAACGGCCGCAGTGCACTTTTGAAGTGGAGACAAACCAAGACGACCTGTCGCATCTCGCCTTTGTTGAAACCAGGGGTCATGTTGGGTCACTGCGTTGAGAAGGCGCTCAAACACATGTTTACGCATTCGAAACCGGCGCCGGAACAAGGAACTTGGATAAACTGGGACTTCCGCGAAATAGTCATTGTATAACCGTGCATGACCTTCTTCGCGTCCCCTATCCTTTCGGGGCTCAGTAGATTTGCGTCGGCGTTGCTGAGTGGCAGCTTGAATAATTGGTGGAATGTACTCATGCATTACGTGTTGTATCATAAGACACACTTCATTACGTTGTTGAACTCTAAGCTCCCTTCCCTCATCATCCGAGTTAGATGAAGATGAAGAGGAATCGGTTGAGCTTTCGTTTAAACTGTTTGAATTCATTTTGTATGTAAGAAATGTAAGATAGAGTGAGGTTTTCTAATAGTAACTGCAAACGATTTATGTGTTTGTGTGTAAAAAAAGTGAAAGAATGGTGTTTATTTATAGTGAACTAATTTGTAATTCTTCTTCAGAAATAACTGAATATAAAGAGACAAAGATCACATGGGCTATGACAAACAATGAATTACAACCACACAAAAATTGAATGGAGAAGAAGGGTTTCACATGGGCTATGACCAACACTGGATTAGAACCACACAGAAATTGAATGGAGAAGAAGGGTTTCACATGGGCTAACAAAGGGGAAATTAAGATACTGACACAATTATATATAAAGAGACAAATTGATATAATTGAATAAACAGAATAAGATCACATGGGCTATGAAAATGGGAAAGTGGAAAAGATCCATTTTACTGATTAATTGATAAAGTACAAACATAAGGAAATGAGTACAAGAGGTTGAACTGGAATTGAAAACTTATCACTACTGAAAATGAAAAACAACAAAGGAATTGAACACACTTAACTACAATAAAAATAAAGGACACTAAGCATCATTATTGAAACGTTGAATATTGTTCCGAAGTATTACTATCATTTCGTCTTCCCACTGTTCTCGGTTTACTTTCTGTTCTAGACGAGATAGTTGCTCCCAGTTGATCCTATATTGCTCTAGCTCAATTTTCCGTTGTTTCCTTGCCTCCTTGCGCTCCTGTATTTCAAGTCTCTTCATTTCTGCTTCGTTTGACACATTCATCGAATCCCCAAGTAGCTGCAATCGGCTGTTGAATGTTTCTAATTCCTTAAATGCTTGACTTGATGGAGCTTTACCCTTCAATCTCGACTTAGCCTTTTTAATACCTTCAGCACGAGCTACTCTCTCATCACCGACACCCACGCTGGTTGGTGTGGTAGGTGAGGAATTGTCACCCTCATCCCGTGTCCTCTTCCCACTACTTCCGCTCCCTACAGACTCATCCGTCAGTGGAGTTGAATGTGGACGTCCCACCGAAGGCTTGAATGTTTGTTGGTCCAAGAAAGACCGGAATTTGTCCCACTTCCTTAATTGGATCCATTCCTCGTAGAAGGTGAATCGTCCGAATGAGTTCTCATGGATTTTGTGGGCCTCTTGGATAACATCATCTTCGTTATAGCCACTTCCCTTTCGCTTCCGGGCCTTATCATAGCTTCCGCACCACTTTAACACGGCTTCAGAGATTCGCATCCACCTTCCCTTCAAACTACTAATAGTTCGTAGGGATATTTCATCTGCATTCGATTCCCTGGCAGCATCGTATGCGTCCAAGACTCTCTTCCAAAATACACCCTTCTTTTGATTTGTGCCGGTAATTATGTCGGTGCTGGTGTTCATGTAGCCGGATATAAGAGCCGCAGTTTCTGATCGCGACCAACTCTATTGTTTGAACCACTAACACGAAATTCCGGAGTTGATTGGAGTGGTTGCTGTAACATTTGAGTGAAGTTTTGATGGGGAGAAGGAGTTTCATTTCCCTCACCATCATCCTCGCATTCTTCATTTGCCTCATCTTCTTCAGATAAGACATTGCTCGATTCCCAAATATTGGGATTCGGTTGTTGTGACGGAAAATAACCAGATGCAGCACCATATTCACCGTAACCCATTGGTATCATGGATGGATGTGGGAAATTTGAACTGCTTTGAGAAAAATTAAAATTTTGAGGGAAATTTGGTGGATTATTTGGGAAACTTGACTGGGGTATTTGAGGATAAACTCCAGAAAAATTATGGGGAATATTTGTGGGTGTTTGTGAAAAATTTGGGTGAATTGGAGGAAAATTGGCTTGATTCGGGATCATATTTTGACCCAAATTTTTTTTCTTCTTTCTATTTGTTTTGGGGTTGGTATTAGCGTCCATAATTATAATTTATATTTGGAAAAAATAAAAATTTAATAATAATAATAATAATAACAACAATAATAAAAATAATAATAACGATAATAATAATAATAATAATAATAATAACGATAATAATAATAATAATAATAATAATAATAATAATAATAATAATAATAATAATAATAATAATAATAATAATAACGATAATAATAATAATAATAACGATAATAATAAAAATAATAATAATAATAATAATAATAATAATAACGATAATAATAAAAATAATAGTAACGATAATAATAATATTAATGATAATAATTAAAAATAATAATAACAATAATAATATTAATATTGGTATAAATAATAATAATATTGGTAATTATAGAGGGGATTTTTGAAGAGAAAAATATAGTAGAAAAAAATGAATTTTCAAAGTTGAAAAAAGTATATCAATATGGGTGTCTATTTATAGAGGGGAAAAAAATAGAGTCGTTGGTAATTTTTTTTTTTTTGATTTGTATTTTGTAAAATATATCCGTTGTAAAATTACAACGGATATATTTAAAACAGTACACACGTGTCAAGCAGCAGCTGGGCCAAGTGGCGCGCTCCCAGCCGCTGATTTCTATTTTTTTTTCTGACCTTTAACAGCAAAACGACGTTGTTTTGCAACATGAAACAGCAAAATGACGTCGTTTTGCATGAATATCAGTCCAAAATATTGGTGGGGCCCACAGCGAATTAATTCATGCAAGTGCTTGCTCCTGCAATCGAACCCATGACCACTCAACATGAACAATTAAAGAGTTTGCCATTAAGCCACCACCTTATTTGTTCACTCATTGTGAACTATTAAAATGTTCACCCTTAAAGATGCTCTTAGTTCACCTTATTTTTGCTTATATGAACTGATTTGATCTGGTATGACCTGGTCTGATCTTATTATTTGATCTGACCAAACTTTGATCTCAAGTGTACGGTAATCTGTAAGGAAAAAAATATAACAAGTGGGATCTTGTTAGATTCGTAATAATGTGTATTTTATTAATATGTAATTTTCATAATTTTCTTCATTACAAAATTAAAGATATTTAGCAATAAAAAATTGCACATAAACGATGATCTGATCTGAACTTATTTTTTTTTATCTGATCTAATCTGAACTTATTTTTTTTAAAATAAGTAAAAATAAGTTGAACTAAAAAAGGCCTAACACATTCTTACATTAGAGATACATATGTAGGACAAGAATTATTATAGGTAATTAATGTTAATCCCAATTTTGATTTGCTTATAAGTTATGATAATTGCAACAATTAGCTAGGGAAATGATTGAATTTATTTAACTTTCTTCTAAATTGGCAATTACTTAGTATGTTTTAACTATGCTTGATTTAATATAGAGTTATCTCCACTCAATTTATTTGTCAATTACACTAGTTGAAATATATATACTCAACTACAACCATTAACATGAACTTAACAATTAACACATACTTATCTATATAGGTAAATTGACTCAATATGAACTTGGACACTAAAGACATTTACTAACATGAACTTAATAAATATACATCGCCAAAATGATCTTGAATGACAAAATTTATGTCATTGAGTGTCTTTAGTATATTTCTTATGTTACCAGTTGTCTTTTAATGTTAATTTTATTATAAATTTATATCGATGATTGTAATTAGGTCACACTTTATGTCATTTTGCCCTTTTTTTCCTCTTAATTTGTGTCAAAATATCAATCATTTGACTGAATATTGATTGATTTTCTTAATTCTAACTTGCAATAATTATGCTTTGATTTGTGCTTAATTTGTGGCATGACACAGCCAAATTTGAGGTAGTATTAGTTTGAGATTAATCATTCGCTGATTGGTGTCTTGTAATCATGTTCCATTCAAATATTATGCCAATTGATTCTACTAAATTGGGTCAAACTATTTTAGGCTTTTATTAGCTGTGCACCTGTATATTTATACTCGTATTTATTTTCACACAAACTATTGGGTACGGTAGTTCACACCCAATGTTTCGTGCGACATGCATACTCATTCCTCCTTTCTCCATTTTCTTCTTTGAAAATCAAAAAAGTTGGGTGCCCTTTCTCTCTCCTCTTTCAAACCTCCAATTCTAGGGTTTCAATTTCAGATGTGAAGCAACGATTTGCAATTTGGTGGTGCGATTTCCGATTGAATCTACGAATTTGCGATTTGTTGGCTGCTATTGCGATTTGATTGTAAAAATTGCGATATGCAATTGCAAAGAACTCCACCCCTTCGACGCCACTGATGTTGAATCTACGAATTTGCGATTTGGTCGCTGATGTTGAGGGTCGTGAGTCATTCGATTTGGTGGCTGCTATTGTTGTTTGGGTGTGGTGTGAATTTGGAGGTGGTTGGTGGCTGCTATTGTTGTTTGGGGGTGGTGCGAATTTGGGGGTGATGTGAATTTGCGATTTTCGTTGTTACTTGTGTTGAAGCGGCTGCTGTGGCGCGGGTCCTGGAGGTGGTGGTGGAGAGGAAAATGCAGCGGAGGAGAGGGCGGCGAGTGGGGGCGGTGAAGAGTGAGGGAGTGAGCAGAGCATTTCGGGTTTGGAGTTTGATTTTGAGCATTTTGGGTTGTTGGTTGATACATTTGAAAGAGAAAGAAAGAAAGAGAGGAAGAGGGGGAAAGAGGAGAGAGAAGGAAATAAAAATATTGTATGCTGTTAATCATATTAGCCAACAAATGACACATTTTAGCCATTAAAATGAACATATCAGCCAATTGATGTATGATATCAGTCAATATTAGGGTCATATATTAGACATTAATAAAAACGTATCAGTCAACACAAGAAACATATCAGCCAACAAAAAGAACATATCATCTAACAAAAGATACATATCAGCCAACTGAAGGAACATATCAGCCAACAAAAGGATGAAATCAACAAACAAAAGCAACATGTAAGCCAACAAAATAAAACATGCATATAAGCCAATAATTAAAATATACATATCAGCCAAAAAAATAAAGATATCAGCCAACTGATGTCTGATAGCAGTCAACAAACCGTATCAGCCAACTGATGTCTGATAGCAGTCAACAAAAGGAACATATAAGCCAACAAAAGGAATATATTAGCCAACACAAAAATCAATCAGCCAACAAATGAAACATATCAGCCAACAACTAAAGTATATCAGCCAAGCCTGCTGCACCAAATTTGCGTGTGACAGTCCGCACCCAATACCTTCTTTTATTTTCATACGGAGTATAATATAGGAATGAAAATGTCATCACCCACTTAATTAATTACCTGCATGCTGCATCCGAAGCATTATGAACCATTCTGTTTCTTGTTTAATAGATGTTCGCCTACAAAGATGTTCAGGTCATCTTCTCCATTTCTACCCCTAAACATCAAAATATACGAGCGCCTTGATTGAGAGTCTATAAGAGTACTACCCTTTCCTAGTTATATATCGTCGTTTGTTGATCGTACAGTTGCAGTTTCTTAGCTTATTGTTGCAGCTATGGATCATATTATTATTGTTCCTAATTGTAAGTTTGTAACTCTACTTGAATAGTAAGTATGACTATTTTGAGGTCTTAAGATTGACATTTGTGGTGATTAAATTAATTTCTTTATCTCGCTCATATTGTTAAGAACTCAAGCATTTGTTGGTACTAAATACAAGGATTTAGGCCCTATTCACTTCACCTTAAAAAAATAATATTCAGTAAAAATAATTTCAATTCAATAAAAATAATTTCAGTTTAGCAAAAATAAGTTCAGTTCAATAAAAAACAGTAACTTTAAAGAAAAAATAAAGTAAAATTAGTAAAATTAGTAAAAATAATTTCAGTTCAGCAAAAATAATTTCAGTTCAGTAAAATTAATTTCAGTTCGGTAAAAATAATTTCAATTCAGCAAAAATAAGGTAAAGTGAATGGGGCCTTACAATTTACTACTACTACTCATCTTGAATAGGGAGTTTGGCGCAATATACTTGTATACAGTGCAAGTGTGTCACAAAAGTACACAAAGCCTAATTTATAAATAGACTTAATTGTGCTTTACATATACATGCACCATTGCACCCTAATACTCGTAGATCCACTAATATTGACCCGTCTGATGATTAAAATAATTTGATTGGCTGCTAATTTAAGTGGCAATAATAATGATTTTATTAGTAAGCTTATGATGAAACATTCATGCTAGTCAAGCCAATACATGTGGTAATGCACTAATGCTAGCCCCTTTCAAATAACTCATTTTTTCATACATTTTCATAACAATCCATTACCATTTTAGAGGTTGTATTGTGTAGTAATGGGAAATAAGGAACAATAACATATGTATGGAGGTTGAATTTCATTGATAAGGTAATGATCCCATAATTTTCATGCAAAATTTCATATAACAACTAGTATGTGGTCCAGACAATGTCCCGTATTGCTACGTTAAAAATCATATTGTAATAATAATTT